GGGCTATAAAGCAATATGAAGCGGTATATAAGCCTAAGTGCTATTGCTATGGCTATTCATGACCTTCCTAGCTGGCTTTTGACAAACAAAGCCAATAGGGGAAGCCAGATTTGCTTATCAACCTGCAGTAATTCACTTAACAAGTGTGGCACAAAAAGGTTATAAAATGGAACAAAACTCATCTAACAACTGCCTTGCTTAGCAATGGAGGTTCTGGGATCAGTTCTGTTCATAAGTCAAAGACAAACTGTATTCCATAAGGAAAAGATTGTCTTCTTCCAGGGAAAACACAGACACATCAACCCTTACAACCACTGCAGCCTCTCCACGGTCATGTGATCAAAATTTGGGTGCTTGGCACCTGGCAGATACTTATTACAGTTGCACGTCCCCTGGTGAAGTCAATGGGGGGAAGGTGAAATTCACTTAATGACTGCATGTTTCACTTAACAACTGCAGTAATTCCCTTAACTACCGTAGCAAAAAGAAAAATCATAAAATCATATCCAGCTCACTTAACAACTGTCATACATAGCAACGGAAAGTCTGTGTCAACTCATAAAATATTTCTATGGTCTTTTTAGAGTTGCCAACAGAAAGGGAGGGGGGAGCAGTGTGGCAGCCTGGAAATCAAAAGTGCATTCCACAAATAGTTTTTCAAAGATAGTAACTAGGTGACTGAAGTTTCTGCCATGCAAAATTCTAACTGGAGACCCTGATTGATGACTCTTGGCTATGGATGTGTCCCATTGGAGAATATGAATTATGATACACCCAGGGGGTGGGGGGAAACCAGGGTCAAGGGAGACAGTGAACTATGTGTCTCAGAGTCGGCTACACCCAGGCAGTGCCGGGTATGTTAATTCCCAATAAATCCTTTTGAAGTTTTGGAAGTTTGGCTCGAGACTCATGATTTAATTGTGGGTAACTGCTGGAATCCTGACAGCCTGGTCCCAATTGTGATCATAAGTCAAGGACTACCTATAGTGGCTATGGATAACTACTTTCAACCGCACCTTAGTTACTCACTTTTTTCCAAGTAAATCTCCAGGCTGCTGCTGTTTCTTTTCGTCTGAAGGAGATCATTTCCAGCCTGGCAGATATAGCTCCCCGTTTTGTCTTCCATGAAATCTTCGAGGAATAATTTTTGCCCGGTGTCTATTTTCTTTCCATTATGAAACCAAACATATCGTGGCTGGGGAAATGAATCAGCTTTGCAGGTGAGCACAACATTAATGTGTTCGTTATAATATCGTTGGGTTGGCTGGATTGCAGGTGTATCTGGACCATCTTGGGAAAATATATTGTTGGAATTCATTGTTGGGATGAATTTTTTAATGCAACAACTACAGCAGTATGCAGCCAGTAAATGGCAGTGCTTACAAATTTGGATCTATGATATATACTCTATGTTCTTTTGTAGTAAGCATAGCTTCCTATTTCCTGTTACAGTTGAACAGTTCAGCAGTAAAGCACATGGTGACTGTGTTCTTTGTTTGCTCTGTGGTGCTATATATCAGCAGAATTTCTAACACACACAGAGAGACAGACAGACAGATATAGATATAGATGAATTGCATACCTTCCATTTACTATTTCAGTCTGAAAGACCCTTTCACAGATTAGAACAGTGTTTGGCAACTTGAAGATATGCGGACTTCAATTCCCAGAATTCCCCAGCCAGACTTGCAGGCTGGGGAATTCTAGGAGTTGAAGTCTACTCATCCAGTTGCCATAGTTAGGAAATGCCGGATTAGATAGAACACAGGGATGATTATTTGAAGTAATTAAAAAAAATAACAGAAACAGCAACTCAGTGGGAGTGAGGTGTGTCCCATAAAATCTAGGTGCGCAACTCTGAGGATGGCCCTTCCCATTCTTAGTTCTCACCACTAGGAAGCCAGTCATTTCTACCCACTGTCATTTTGGGGTTACATCCATGCATGGATGTTTGGGCATATATATGACAGTCTGCAGTGCCCATAGAAATGAATGAAGTTAAAGAAAACATGAGAGATTGTTGCCTCTAGAAATACAGAACAGCACTTGGTAATTGATTCAAAGTCACCCGGTTGGCTTTCATGCCTAAGGCGACACTAGAACTCAACATCTCCTGGTGATTAGCCCAAAATCATCCAGCTGGTTTTCATGGCTAAGGTAGGATTAGAACTCCCTGTCTCCTGATGATTGACCCAAAATCATGCCCTCACAATCTCCCAGTTTCTAGCCTGATGCTTTAGCTTAAAGATGAATTTTAACTCAATACACCAGATTTAGTTTTAACTCAAATACAGAGAATAAACTCCTTTGGGAATTGTATCTAAGTCCTCACTGGGACCAGCCTTGTTCGGGTTAGGAAATGACTACTAGGCAGCACTGCCTCTCTTTATGGGAAAGGGATGGGCTCTGTTTGGTCATGGAGTTCTGGAGGATCGCCCAGCCCTGTTCCCCACCTTCTCCACCTGCTCTTCCAAGTGGCTGGGTGTTGCCCTCTCTTCTCAACTTTTACCAACATCATAAATTCTCTCCCTTGTGACTTGCAGAGCCCTTTTTGACAAGGCAGGGCCAAATTACTCATATGCAATAAGGGAAACAAATCCTCATTAAAGGACATAAAACCCTTGATAAGAACCCTCACCTACCCATTTAAAGAGAATTTAAATTATCTCTCTCCCCCCTGCACAGAATTGTGTGACTCTTATAAAAAATACTTTCATTTTCTGATATAACACCAAGGTTTCCTGCCTGTGGCAACTGCCATGCTTGGCGTCCAAGTAGAATGGTCCCATCTCAAGGACTTCCTGAGGCAGCGGAGAGCAACTATGGCCACTTTACGATCTGTGGACTTCAACTCCCAGAATTCCATGTTGGAGTGGACTTCAACTCCCAGAATTCCATGTTGGCCATGGACTTCTATTCACAGAATTCCATGTCTATTCCCAG